TAAGTATATATATATATATATACATATATATATATACGCTGTTGTGTTTCTCTAAAGAACACTTACTTATACAAATAGATACTGTTAGTCTCATTTCATACAAGAAAAAACTCAACCTGACTTGTCAAGAAACTGGCCTCTGGTCTGCACTGGCAACTAGTGTTGGAATTGGCATCAGAGCCAGGTGTCCATGGCGCCTGCTCAGGGCTCTTTCTCTACCCCACTCTCTCTTGGATAAACTGACTCCTGTCAATGATTTCATTAGAGCCAGCGTGTCTGAAAGGGACATAGGGGACAGCATCCTGATTTTGAAGGAAGGCGTCTCTCTTTATGAAAATGTGCTCTAGCGCAGAGTTATAAACGTGGGGCTTAAGAGGGAGACAGAGCAGGGTCTGAGTCCCACTTCTGCATCATAATAGCTATTTGATTTTGTCAAGTTATTTCTCTTAAGGGTAAATTCCCTCATCTTTAAAATTAGAACTGTAAGTGCACTTGTCTCCTAGGCTTTTGGCTAATAATTAATTGAAATTTTAAAAATGAATGACTTTTATTTTACATATAGTAATTTGTCTAAATGATAACATTACTTTTTTCTGAGTCTTCTACCTGGAGCAGAACTGAACTGTGTTTGTGTGTTAACGTACTCAGCACTTGCACTTCTGTAATGGACCTGCACTCCAGTGACAGGAGGGTTCCATAGAAGCAGTCAAATGTTTAAGGTAAATATTACACCTTTAATAATGTAGACCATAAACATCAAAAGACAAGAGACGTATTTTCATTTTCTTTTTTATGTGACATGATAACTTGTACAAAGTAAGGGACCAAAAATGTTGATTAAAAGAAACTAGGGAATAAATAAAGATTATTTGTGTTCCTTTCCCTCATGGTAATTGTATAACACATGACGAGGTCCATGCAGCGGCTACAGTGCAGAAATGGTGTCTTTCTTTTTAGTGCCAATGAAGGATCGATGGATACACTTTGCCTTGAAGTCATATGTTCCTGAAGTTGTTAGAAAGAAGTCATGATAATCACATACAATGCATGAACTTCTCAGTCCTGCTAATCCAACCCTAGAAAAGGGAACCCAGAACTGAGGGGGCAGTTCTTGGCTTGGGGGACCACAGGTGTTGAGGAACAGACTTGAGTTTGATTCCTGTTCTGCCACTTATGAAATATGAGACCCAAGAAAGTTACTTCCCCTCACATATGTAAACAGGTAAAATAATAAATATTTTGCGTGATATCTGTGAGCATAAAACACATCACATACAGAACAGCAGGATGAGTGTCAGGGAAGACCTGTCTGAGCTATGAGGGACCAAGCCTGTCTGGTTGGCAGCCACCACACTCCCGGTCACTTTCTCAGCTGTGGCAGGAAAGTTTTTGTGCTGTAGGCTGTTGATCATGTGGGGCTGTGCTGAGCTGCTGGCACAGAGACACAGGGTGGAATCCATCAGCTCCAGGACATTCACGTTCAGCTCAGAGCTATAGTCACTGAACTGTTGCCCTGAGAATCGACCTGCGATGTCTCCTTTTTCTCTCTCTTACCCCCTGTAATACTGAATGAGGAACTGAGGTCCCTGGCCAAGGACCTGTTGGTACCAGTACACACAGACATGTGCAGAGACAGGGGAACACTTGCTGTCCTTTTGCTTTTATCAGGTGTTTTGGGGTTTGGGTGACTCCAGAATCCACTGGGCCTGTTGGGAGGAGACAGAAAGAAGCTGAGGGCAGAGCACAGGGGCAGCCTCCCGCTGCAGCCATCATTGATGGGCTCCTATTTCAGGAATGGCAAACCCAGCCGAGGCTTTCACCCTGTGCCCAGGACTCACCTGCTCCCAGGAGACAAAGAGCCACACAGGAGAGGAGGCTGGAACCCATGGCAGCATCAGGAACCCAAGACAACTCCTAGCTCAGGGGCGGGGTCTCCTGGGGTCTGTGGTCTAGAGTTGTGATCTTCCCATTTCCCTGATAGGAGCATTTGCCTATGATGTCACTGCTGTGTTTTTACTGTCTCTGCAGACACCCCTGGCCCACTGTCCCCTTTGGCAGGACCCAGAGTCTACTACTCTAGGCACCATTCGTGTCCTGCACAGCCCCTCAACAAAGGGTGAGTGTGAACTAAGCACCATCCCCTAGTCCACAACATGCCTGATTTCCCTCTGCCTGCCCCTGCCTGACACCAGTTTCCAAGCCCTTGCTTCCCCAACCCCTTCACCCTCCACTTCCTGTTCAGGCTCCCAGAGATGGTCACTTGGTGGCCATTGAGGTTCAAGGCGGGTCTCCACTCCCCTGGGCAGTGAAGAGCCTGTTAGCTCCACATGTCCCAGGACCAGTGAACCCAGTGAACTCAAACCCCCTGCCTGATGCAGGCATGACCAAGAATTCCCTTAACTGGCCCCTCCTGGGCCACTCTCTCAACTTTCCCAGGGTGCCTTGCAGTTAGGACTGTGAGTCCACAGTGTCTCCTCATGGCTGAAGGTCAACAGTCTGGTGGATTTCTCCCTCTGTCTACATCAAGAACAGAAATTCCCTCCAACCCCCACCCCTGCAGCCCTCCCACCCCACTCCCCACACACATTTGACTGCCTTCCCAGCCTGGCTGCTTTAGGGTTGATCTTCAAATCTACGCTCAGTCTGTTGAGTAAAAGATTGTCTAAACAACACTTTCATGAAAAAGGAAATAATTGCTGCTCCATTGCAATTACTATACTAAAATGCAGGAAACAAGCCCAAATCATACAGGCCACAAAAACAAACAGTCTGATGATCTCAGGTGGATCCAGCCTGGAATCACTGTATTCTACCGCTCCTCCTGATTAAGCAGATCCATACATTCCTGGATTTTATGTTTAATTATTAACAAATTTTAGATAGTGCATTTTATAAAGAGGGTTTATATCTTTTACGCATTAATTTCTAAAATTATAAATTTGAAATAAACACCTCTGTAGCCATAGTTAAGGCAGATCCAATTGGGCATGACATTTACCATCACTTCCCAGAAGGACATATTGGTTTTGCTCAGTGAACCAATGACTCATGTTAAATTCCACCCAGAGAGAAAATATTTCCATTTCATGTATCTTCACAAGAAAATACACATGCATGCATACAAACAGACACACACACACCCACACACACAATTATCCTTTAATTGGCAAGGATGTCAAGGTTTTATTAACGAACACAGCAAATGTTCTTTATCAATTTTCAGGTTCATTTCTGAGAAATACCATTGATGATGGCAAGAAATGTTTCTAAAGATGTGGTGGTGGCTGGTGATGGAAAATTCTCTACAGGACCATGAGACTGGATGAAGTTTACTGTAACACAATTTTCTCTGTTCCAACAGAAGATCAGTATGTTCCAGCTTCAGCTACAGTTAGAGTCCTTTACAGGACAGGTCATCAGTCCTGGCTATAAGGACACAATTGCACACAACATTGCAGAAGCTGTATAGAAAGCCAAGTCTTTCCATAATGACTACCTATGATATTACAGGTTAGGGGAGATTACTGTAAAGGGAATCTAGTGAATAACAATACTCCATGGCTCTATATAATAAGTGAGCATTAATTTATTCATTTCACAAATGTCAAAGATTATCAATTATATATTTGATTTTCCTATGAATGTAAAAGAAAGGTAGAAATGTAGTTGTGGATGGAACTGTGTCCCCCAAATTTCTACGTTGAAGTCCTAACGCCCAATGTGACTGTATGTGAAGACAGGGCCTTTGGGGAGGTAGTTAAGATTAAATGATGTCCTAGGGGTGGGAATCTAATCCTACATGACTAGTGTGCTTATAAGAGGAAGCAACACCAAAGAGCTCTTTCTATCTCCACCTGAGCACAGAGACCACGGGAGGACACAGCCCAAGGGAGAATGTCTGCCTATCAGAAATAGAGTTTTCACCAGAAACCAAGTCTACCCCTTGATCTTAGACTTCTACCTTTCAAAACTGTGAGAAAATGAATCTCCATTGTTTAAGCCGTGCAGTCTGCAGTGTTGTGTTACGGCAGCCTGAGCAGACTAATCAACAGGATAGCGCTGTGGAACGTCAGAGTGAGAAGCAAAGAGGGAGGCATGGCTGAGCCAGTCCTTGAAACATGAATAGTGTCTGGCTGTGTTTGGGGTGAAGGGAAGAGCCATCTAGGCCATGGGAACAGCAGGAGCAGATACAGAGGATTTAAAGGGAATCAGAGTTTGGGCAAATGTTGCGAAGAGCTGTTTGGTCACAGAGTGAGCTGAATCCTGAGATTGCCAAGAAGTGATGCTCTGAAGGTAGCGGAATCTGGGGATGAAGAGTTAGAAAGCTATTCCAGGGAAGCAGAATTCATCTTGGGGAAGTTGGAGAGCCTCTGCCTGCTTATAATCAGGGAAGGCATGCCCCCATCTGTGTTTTGGGAGGTGCTTGACTGTGCCCGAGGAGGCAAGACTGGGGAGAGAAGTCAAGAAGGAAGGAGTCAGAATCAACTCCAGGGTTCTCACACCATCATCACATCATCTGCAGGGCAATGTCCTCACCTGGGAGCGGCCGCTGGGTGACGCCAGGTGCTGTAAGGCCCTGCTTTATGTTTTCTGTGTATTGCAGACCTTGGGAGGAGAGAGAAAAGATATCATGTTACAAATAACATAGTTTTTTCTTTTTTTATCATCTTGTAGCTCTATCTCTATTTCAACGATTTTAAATATTTTCTCTCCTAGATTTTCCCAAAATGTCAGTTTTTTTCTTCCTAAATTATATAAAGCAACTCCCTCTGCTTCTATCTTCTAGACTACACATTTATGGAACAATTTTCATCCCTAAATGAACTCTCTCTCCTGAAGAAAGAGGATGTCAGCTGTAATTTACAAACCTTCCCCATACCGTGTAGCATAGAGGGCCAGGCAAGGAAGATGATTTTGGAGAGACTCTATTGCTGTAGCGCCATTCTCTGAAGAGATCCTCTATTGTCCCATGTCCCTGAGCGGCAGAAGAGCCTGAGGCTGCACTTTCCAGGGCCCTAACTCAGTCTTCTCTCCCACTGCTGCCCTGAGGTCCTCACAGATCTGTCAGCTCTGAGCTTGTTCCACGCTGGGGCAGGGAGGTTTGTGCACAGAACACTGGTGACTCTGCAGGGCTGTGCTGAGCTGCTGGCACAGAGATACAGGGCCGAGTCCTTCAGCTCCAGGACGCTCACATTCAGCTCAGAGCGATAGTCGCTGAACTGCTGCCCTGAGAATCGAGCCGGAACATCTCCTTTTTCATTCTCTTTCCCATTGTAATAGTAAAAGAGGAACTGGGGGCCCTGGCCCAGTGGCTGTTGGTACCAAAATACACGGTTGTGCCCAGAGATAGGAGAACATCTCAGTGTCACTTGCTGTCCTCTTGCTTTAATCAGATGTCTTGGTGTTTGGGTGACTCCAGAATCTACTGGGCCTGTGAGGGAAGAAGACAGGGGCTGGAGAAAACACATGGGAGGGAATCCAATGATGCCTTGGATTCAGGCACTGTCAGGCTTACAATGGAGATTTCCCACCTGTATCAAGTATTTACCTGTTCCCAGGAGACAAAGAGCCACACAGCACAGGAGCCTGGAGCCCATGGCAGGGTGGGACAGAACTGAGCAGGCATCTCCCCGCTCAGAGTTCTGGTCCCCTAAGAGATGAAGTTCTGCGCATCCCTTCTCTGATTGGAGGTTAGGCAGTGATGTCACAGCTCTGATGTCATTGTCTCTGCTGGTTCCTGTGATCCTGGCCTCCCTTGCCAGGTCCGTGGCTAAACTGATCCAGAAAGTCTGCTCTCTCCTGCAAAGCTTCTTCTGTGATAAGTAGGGCTGGTCTAGGCTAGGCTGGGTTTAGGGATCATGCCCATCCCCATAGCTCCTTTGCTTTTCCTTTAAATTGGGTGTTCCACTACCTGTCACTGCCTGGGGCATGCAGGCTGCCTGCTCCCAGCTCCACACCCTTCACTTTCCCTTGCAAGCTCAGAGACTCCCTAACCCCTGCATGGATGAAGTTCATGGCTCTCAGTGAGGGCAGCACCCCTGTGAATTACCGTCTTTACTAGTAAGCCTTCTAGGGGATCAAAGCTCCAAACAGGGCTGTTCCTTAACCCTCGTGGTCCCAGACAGCTGGTTCTGCCCCAGAAACTTTTGGAGCTGGGCAGTTCCACAGTGCCCCCGTGTGGTCTATGGGGAAGTAACTGGGATTTTGTCTTTGCCATGATGCAAGAGTCCTGAGACGTGTTTAAATTAGGAAGTATTTCACCAGTGCCTAGTGCATTGTTTTTGTTTGTTTCCTAGAGAGACAAAAGACATACACACACATGAAACCCCAGCCCTAGCTGACTTGGGATTTTGCAATGTAAGAAAAAAAAAAAGGTGGCGTCCGGTGAAGTGGCTTAGCAGTTAAGTTCCTGAGCTCTGATGCTGATGCCCTGGCTTCACAGGTTCAGATCCTGGTGCGGACCTATGCGCCGCTCATCAAGCCATGTTATGGCAGGTGTCCCACATATGAAGGAGAGGAAGATCCACATGGATGTTAGCTCAGGGCCAAAACTCCTTAGCAAAAAGAGAAGGATGGGAGGCTGATGTTAGCTCAGGGTCAATCTTCCTCCAAAACCAAACAAAAGAAAAAAGATGGTCGTGGAGGAAATACTTTGCCTTTGAGAAGGTTCTGATGAAGGTGATGGGGCAAACGTGGCCTAGATTAGGTGGGGTTGCTAAAGAGGAACCATGTCAGAGATTACACACAAAACAGCCCGTCTTTCTTTCTGCAGATGGACTCCCAAGGGTTTGGGGATAGTTAATAATTAACTGAAGTTGCTTTTTCTTCGTGATCCCAGACTGCTTGCTCAAGGAAGACCCTTCAGACAGGCCTCTGTGAAAGGTGCCCCCTAATCAGCTTACTCCCAAACAAAGAAAATAATACTTTCTGTTTCCAGACTGCTGGAGAATTTGTTTCTTTATTTTTTATCCTCTCTCATTTAGAAATCTTCTTTTTACTTCTGTTCATTGATAATAACATAGTGTCCCTTTCCCCATATATGAATAAACTTGTGTGTAGATAAATGATTATATTTCTCTAAGTTTTTCTTCGATGCTCAAGTAGGAAATAAAATATTCTAACCATCTACAGTTAGGATGCTAGGAAGGAGGCCAGTCTGGGTTAATGTAGGATAACAAAATAAACAGAAAGACTTGGGAAAATTGAATCTGAGAAGGACTCAATTCCAGAACCAGTATCTTCCATTTACTTCTTCTGACTTTGTTCACTTCCAATCCAAACTTCTTTAAATGTTTACATTTGACTTGACTGTTATTAAATTTTAAATAGTGCATTATATAGAGAGAATGTATATTCTAATGCAATCTATTTCTTGACCTTCAAAATCAACAGGCAAACAACCCCATCACATGCCCCTGAGAAGACATCCCTGACCCAGCTGCATCTGACATTGACAGTCACTAGTTATTGTGCCAATGAGCTGTGGTCAGTGACCAGTACCCCTTATAAGATGCTGACCAGAGAAGGGAAATTCCACCCTGAGTGAATCTCCATAAATATAAACCAAGTGAAATTATCTCAAGTCAAATGGCAATGTTCTGTAACTGAATACTTTTATGAATTTTGTGTAGACATAACTCATTAAAACTTTTTATAATAGCAGCTGATGAGTCATATGGAGTCTCTGATGTATATTAGGAGAATTTCTACACAAAATCATAGAAATATAAACAATCAGTGTTAATCACACTCAGGAAGATATATTTCTCTGCTTTAAAAGAAATACCTGGCACTTTTTGAATTCAATTAGGTAAATTTGCTGGATTGCCCATCATTCTTTAACTATAAAAATCACACAGTATCTAAGATTGCTTCAAAGATGCCTGAGACCCTGTGATAAACAGTCATTATATTTTGGACAAGAGGAGCTCAGCTGATAGTAATAGATGAATCTTGTAGAAGAAAAGAACTAGAATCTAATGTCTATGAATGTGTACTATAGCTTCTACTGAAACGTCATTTTTCTCTCTAAAATCACCCTCATTTTTACAAAAGATAGAAAAATTAAGATGAATTGGTTTGCAAAATAAGTGTAGTTTCAATAAACCTTGGTTCAATTATTTACATAAGTACAGAAAGAATAGCAACCGATTATATAAGCTCTTTTAAACCTGCTTTACTGGAATTTTTTTAAGAGGAATCTAAGATTGAACTGTAAAGGCCTCTCAAGGCCAGGAAAGCCAAGCCAAGGACTTACCATAAGATTTTGCCTGCAATACCTACAGATTTGTATGGACTCCTCTCTTCGTGAGGTCCCCCAAAATATTTTGAGGTTCCTTGCATCTGCCAGATAAGTGAGCTTCCTTACATACCAGGTAAGATTGCTGGAATCTCTGTAAAGAAGTACCAGGCCAATATTTCCAAGTGGCTTTATTCCAGAAAGTCAACCTTATTCCTCAAAGGTGATATTGTCATATCTGAGTCTGTATGTTTCTCTTAAACATGATATTCCAGTCAAAGCCTCAGTAATACAACCAATGTGTCCTGTTATAAGGAGAACAGGTTCTTAGTGAACTTACACAAGCAACTATATTGCCACAAAATAACCGTACTCACTCACAAAGAGTTTCCAAATTCTGGAGGGATAAGGTAGGGAGAAAAAGATAAAGATAAATGTTTCAGTTCTGCTCATAAAGGTATAATTTCAAATTGCTATAAGTCATAATTAGCATAAGAAAAAAGAGGAAAGATTTCCTTAAATCTGAGAAAACAAAACAGAACATCAAAAAGTCAACAATATTTCAAACAAAAGTTGTAAAAAATTATAATCATCTTCATCAGTTCATACAGTCCTAAGAAATTACAGAATTCTAAGAGAGAAACTGATCACTTTATAAATCTACTAGCGGAAGATTGAGATTGAGAACCGATTATATACATTATTATATTATTAGTACAGAATTAGAATAATCTGATGGGACGATTAAGAGAACATGTCCATTCTATATGTGTGGCAATTAAACTTCCAGATTACATTTCTTGGCAAAAGAATACTGTTGAATTTGTACTTATGTGTCCAAGAATAACTAAAGATCGGTGAATTAGTCTCAGTAAGACCTAATGGCCACACTTGGGAGAGACTCAGAGACACTAGAAATAGTTAATAAGATTACATAATAAGTAGGAACTGAGGTGGCTGAGAAGGGATCAGAATGTAAAATCAGACCATATAAGAGACTAATTATAACCATTTAGAATGGATTGCAGCTATTAGGTGGAAATTTATGGCATAAATAAGAAAAAAAATGTGGATTTACATGTTAAAGACACATGATCAAGGATGAAAGAGGGTGAAATTAGACCAGACTGGTCTGCACACTTTTAGATATCTATCTGCGCTGACAAATAAAAATGGCAAGTAATAGGATATATTGGAGTATATGAGGAAGCCATTTTGTGTAAACCTAATTCGGCCTGACCTTGTCTTTCCAAAAGGGCCTGACCGAGGCCATTTAGCATGCATTGTATATCTGCTTTAGAGATTCCCTATGGCAAGAGCAAAACGCCCTTGAGATAAAGGTGCAACTTCTCTCCTTCTCCCAAAGTTGGCATCTCCTTAAAGATTGAACATCTTTCTTTGGGCTGGGAACCGACTGCGGCGCTCATCTGTGACCCCCCCCCAGCCCGAGGCAACACACCTGCCACCCTGCGGCGTTCACTAAGACGGCAGACCTATCTGCCGTTTCCATCAATCGCTGTGCTGACAGAGCAGCCTCGTGACTATTGTAAAAGGGACATTTCAATCATATGTGAAACATACTCTTTGAGGGTATATAACCACCCTGTGTACCCCCACTTCTTTGGAGTGCTCTGTTCCTTTGTGGAAAGACTCTCCCAGGTTATAATCCTAAGATTTAAGCTCAGAATAAACTCACCCAAATTTTCATTTATAGATTGCTTATGGATTATTTTCGTCGACAGCGCTCATATAGACAGTGTGGCATCCATGTTCTTGTTCCAGAGCAGGCAGCTGCAGAGGCCCGGTCAGCATCCTGTGAGTCCACACCAGCCTTCAGCTGCTCTGGCCTCTGTTATCTGTTCTTAGTCAGGCCTGGGCTCTCCGAGGCAGGACAGAGACAAGTAAGTCCCAAGCTGAGAAGTGGCAGCTGCATCTAATGTATTAAACTGTCTGCCTTAACTACATTTGAGATACTCTTTGAGTGTAATGAAAAAGCCCCAAACAAATGGTAAGATGACATTAACATTATAAAGGCATGTCAACAATTATAGTAAAGTGGTTTCAGTTATAATCAGGAAAATTGTGATGGAGACATTCTGGGAACAGCTTAGAGTGAGAAGAGAATGGTGAGGGCTGAGCAGCCATCATCAGGACTCCTGCCGTTCAGATGGGGATGGATAATTCAGGAAGGAAGGAAATTCTGCCTTGAGAGTCATTAAGGTGGATCTTCCCTGTGTGGTGAGTTTTGAGCCTACAGACAATTTGTGAGGAATCCCTGAAACCCATTTCCTACAGTATTTCCTACAGAAAAGTTTCTGAGTTGGTCCCTTATCATTTTCTGTCCTTGTATGCCCCAAACCCACTCATTTCTCTTGGTGAGAGAGGAGCAGAGAAGACCTTTACTCCGGGGGCTGAGAGTTGGAGCAAGAAGGGGAAGCTCAAGGGTTTATGAACAGAGAGGGGGTGACTGCAGTGCTGTGGCTAAGCTGCTGGCACAGATGTACATGGCTGAGTCCCCGGGTTCTGTGCGCTGGATCTTCAGGGTGGACAATGATCTGTTAGGCATCTCAGCTGAGAACCGGTCCTTGGGCATCCC